GTTTATTGTTGTTTATTATGGTTTATTGTGGTTTATTGTTGTTTATTATGGTTTATTGTTGTTTAACGTTGTTTATTGTGGTTTATTGTTGTTTATTATGGTTTATTGTTGTTTAACGTTGTTTATTGTGGTTTATTGTTGTTTATTGTGGTTTATTGTTGTTTAACGTTGTTTATTGTGGTTTATTGTTGTTTATTATGGTTTATTGTTGTTTAATGTTGTTTACTGTGGTTTATTGTTGTTTAACGTTGTTTATTGTGGTTTATTGTTTGTTTTGATGATGGTTGACGTCAGGCCAGCTGAGTGAGAACCAACACAGAGCTGTTTTTGATGCACTTTAAACATTAATCCAAAGATAATCTTACTGTTTGGGTACAGTTCTCATTTATTTAAGGTTTTCTGAACACAGTGATGATGATGATGATGATGTTGATGATGATGGTGGTGGTGGTGGTGGTGGTGATGATGATGATGATGATGATGATGATGGTGATGATGATGATGATGATGGTGATGGTGATGATGATGATGATGATGATGGTGATGATGATGATGATCAGCCAGGTCAGACTCATTTGAAACTGTTAATTGATGTAAAGTGCAACAAAAGCAGCAGGCTGTGGGAATCAGTCAGATCCAGGCAGGTTGAATCACCTGAGTGCACCTGGACTTCACAGGRGGCTGAAGATGAAGAACAACCTGCTGACAGCAGAGGATTCTGGGAAGCTGGAGGAGATTTTCTGCCTCCTGTCAGATCGTGCCGAAGCCACGCCCACGAGCTCGCTCCAACAGTCCACACCTGTGCCCGTCTCTGACAGGTTTGTGAGCCGATCTGATCTCCTCCATGATTAAACCTTCAGCTGCTGTGAGGAGGCGAGCAGCAGATTGCTGAGGTCCAGTTCTGCTGACAGTAAGCTGAGTTTTATCTGGGCTCTGCAGAGCTGCCTTCCTGCTGGAGCTGGCTCTGCTCTCCCTGCAAGCACAGCATCAGAAAGTAGCAGCCGACTGTCTGAAGGAGCTGAAGTCCTGTGGAGAAACTGTGAGTCTGCAAGCTCAAAACTGTGCTGAGTCAGCATTTTCTCTGTCCGTTTACACCTTATTCTGCATGTTTTTTAAATTAAACCCACCTCAGCAGGCGTTTAGCCATTTAAATATAAATATAGTAAAAAAGTTTGGCTAGTTCAGGTCATAAATATTACTTC